CTGACGGCTCCACAGGAGGTGCCGGTCCCGAATCTGGCACTACTGGCTTACGACGACCGAAGGAACCCCAAGACCTGGCACGACCCTTCCAGGCAGGACCACCACGGCCCCCCCCGGAGAACCAACAAGTCCAACATAGGCCGGCAACTAGATGAAGCCGCTTGCAGAAAATGCACCACCGCAGACTCTGCAGACAGCAATAGACAAAAAGGGGATGAAAATCTAAGACCCAGAGCCCAAGCCGATTCCAAAGAGTGGATGTGCACCGCCTGTTGGCACGCGAGGTGAGAAGCCAAGAACAGAGACACCGCCTCATTCAGAATCAGCGCAAACAACTTCAACAAGGCAGCCGACGCCCGAGCTGCCGAAGCAAACACACCAGACACCATCCCACCAGACACCTGCACATCCTCGCTGAGCCAGTCCGAAGACAGCTCCAGCAGAGAAAAGAAATGCAAGACCAAAGCCAAATGCCCACAGGCGCATAAATCCTTGGCCACCAGGGACACCGAAAGGGAGGGGAACCTGCTCGTGAAGCTGCACCTGACCGACATCACGAGGAAGTACAGGGGAAAAACAAGCACGCATTGAGGTGCTCAAATTCGCCCCCTAGGTAAATCTGAACAACCGTAGTCAACTCCCGCCATTCAAGCGCGCGGGTCCAACAGAACGTATGCCACGTCCCCAACGAAAAGAAATGGCAGTACACTAACCAGGAAGATTCCGGCACCTCATAACACACCCAGAAAGGAAACGAGGAGCCAAACTTGAAAGAAGAAGGATCCATTACAGAGGCATAATCCAGGTCTCGCAAGAGGTAAACCGCAAGGACTTCCCGCACCACCTTTGGTGTGATGCGGGAAGCCGAAAACCTCTGGAAGGTGGGAACCGAAGAACCCAAGAGAACCCAAAACCGAACCTGGGGAGGAGTCACACACATATCAAACTCGTACAGGGAGGGGGGGGGATAGGAAAACCCCTCTCTCTGTAACAACAAGCCCCACGCCAAGGGTACCAACACCCAAGCGGGGTCAAACAAGGCCCAAGCCCCTCAAAGTCAACTCCTCCCCAGCCCCGGGAACCTCCACGTCAGGACCCGGGGCCGAGCAGTCCTCCAAACCCTCTGCCTCTGGGGAAAAAGCAGGATAAAAGGGGCCCGCTGGCACGGCCCAAAGTCTCCAGCAGGAAGAACAGGCTCGAATGCCTCTGCTGCCGATCCAGAGGAGGCAATCCCTGAAGCTGCCCGAGACTCGCCACCAGACAAACCCTGCCCTGACTCCGAAACCCTCAGATGTTTGGAAGCCAGGAGCTGGGGGGGTCAGGGGCAGGATGAACCACAGCAGGAGGAAGGACTAGATGGTGCAGACGAAACTAAAGTCGAGGCAACTAACACCCTCAAGTCCGGGACCCTATAACCAAAGCGGGGCAGCTGTGGGACATCTGGAAAGGCAAGCAACCTTGCGCGTTGCAGCAACCTAAACTGTGCATGCAACACCAAAGCTGCTTGCACCCGAATATCAATCTCATTGGACTGGGTGAATTGGCATACAAGCAAGGAACACCACTCACAGGACTCTGGGTCAAAGGTGTCAGACCCGACAAGCAGCATGACGGAGGCAAAGACGCTGAGTGTCACCCTGAGTCGAGGGGACAGAGCAACCTTCAAACTCGCACAAGGCGAGGTAGGACTCTGAAGTCTCTTCCATTGGACCACTGAGCCCCCAAGAGGGTTTCCAGGGCCCTTAGGCTGACTGCCGAGGGAAGCCTAGGCAAGGTACTGCTAACCGATTATCCCAGAGCTACCAAGCAAACAAACTAAAATCTGAACCTCTGCAACGTGTGCAAGCACGGGGACCTATGTTGAGATTATCTTGAGATGATTTCGGGGCTTTAGTGTCCCCGCGGCCCGGTCCTCGACCAGGCCTCCACCCCCAGGAAGCAGCCCGTGACAGCTGACTAACTCCCAGGTACCTATTTACTGCTAGGTAACAGGGGCATTCAGGGTGAAAGAAACTTTGCCCATTTGTTTCTGCCTCGTGCGGGAATCGAACCCGCGCCACAGAATTACGAGTCCTGCGCACTATCCACCAGGCTACGAGGCCTCCTTACCTAGTGGAGGGCCACCAAAATAATACATGTGGTCCTACTGCCACACCAGGCAGACCCCCACCACTCAAAACAAAACAAAAACAAAAGAAAAAACCACGCAAAAGCACGTCTCCAGGTGAACAGAATCGGTCACTATGCGTATATCAGACAGCAGCACAGTACCTCGTGCCCCAGTCAGCGACGAAACTATCTCCTACCTAAGGGCAAACGGAAGTAAGAACCACCCCGGCTGAACCCCAAGGGCAGGCAATAACAGAGCAGCAACAGAACCACATGGAGGTTGTTTCCGAACGGTTCAGGGAAGATAACCCTGAGGTTGCAGGGGCAGTACTTACAGGACACCTAGGGAAGGTGGCCCTAGGTGCATGCAGCCCCAGTACTCTTGTGTTACTCCTGGCTTGCATGACAACAACACTGAACTACAACACTGCTCTGCAGCACTGCTCAAAGGATGGAGCCAGAGCTGATCAACCCTCTGCCTCACAACAGGCCTTCTGAACTGAGGAGAGTTGCAGGCGTGGAGGTCTGGGCCCCCCCCCCTCCCCCTCGCTGGGGGAGGGGGGGAAGGGTTGCGCAGACGGATGCGCGGCACTTGTGGTGATGTCATACTTGCTTCCTTGTTTTTGACTGGGGAGTTCTGTTGTTAGTTCAGCTTTTGGTTTGCAAATTTTGACCAGCAGTAGTTTGTTTTGGAATTCCTACCTTTCTGGGTGTCTGACCTGGTAGATGGCAGACAAAGACTGCTGCCAATTACACGGGGGTGTCTTTAGGCCATTTCTCCTTGTGCCTCTCTTGAGGGGGGCCAGGTTCTGGTTCTGGTCCCCGGAAGGCCTAGAACTCCTTTGATTGACTGTTGCCACGGTCTAATATATACACATCAGCCTGGTATAGCTCCAGGGAGCCGAAGGGGCTCTCCACAGAAAATCCTAATTTTCCCTGGAATACGACCTGCTAAATCATATAACAACCAGGTACCCATTCACTGCTGGGTGAACAGAGGCTACAGTTAAGGATTGCCACCAGTCAATCCTCCTTGGCCAGGATAGGAACCTAGGCCAAAGCGCTCGCAAAGTGCCGGGCAAGTGTCTTACCACTGCCCCATGGGTAACTGCTTAAACTAACCTACGCTAACCTTCCTAGGCCTAATACATGCCATTGGAGGCCTAATATAGTACATATGTGCTACACTAAGCCAAGGAATATTCAAGTTTGTTTTTAAGCTTCATTTTTTCAGATAATAAAGTGAATAATGTAGTACCAAATTCTACTATCTAATTGCTTGCAGGCGATGAGTCACAATAACGTGACTGAAATATGTTAACCAAATCACACACTAGAAAATGAAGGGACGACGACATTTTGGTCCATCCTGGACCATTCTCAAGTCGATTGTGATGATGGACGGAGAAGAAGGCAATAAATAGGCAGAAGAGTGATGAGAAGAAAATCTTACAGGTAGGGAAGGTAAGGTGTAATAAAGAGGAAAGTAAGAACTGCAGAAGGCCCATTGGCCCATATGAGGCAGCTTCTATTTATACCACCCACAAAGAAGGAGATAGTAAAAGGAATAAGAAGGGGAAATAGTAGGAATAAGCAAGAGATCGTAAGAGAAAACAATGGAAAGAAAAAGGAACGAGAAAAATTGAAGTGTAAGCCTATGTTAGGTCACGTTTGTTAGAAAGTTTTGAGCATTTAAGTATATACTGTGAAAGGGAAGAGTCAAAAGCAATAAAGCCAGGACTCAAATTCATGTTGGGTAGGTTGTGTATTAGAGCCAATTAAACGAGACGGCGTCTGTGTAGAGTAGAGGCAGGAAAGATTATTTGAGGAATACCAATCAATAGGATAATTAGAATCCCTAACATGACAGAAGAGAGCATTGTTTGTCTGCAGACTTAACACTTCTTTTGTGTTCTTTAAGTCTATCATTAAGTGTACGGCCAGTTTCGCCAAAGTAGTGGAGAGGACAAGACGAACAGGAAATAGAGTAGACACCAGCAGCATTAGAAGAAGGAGGAGCAGTGTGAACTAGATTGCTACGAAGTGTGTTAGTTTGTCGAAAGGGGAGCTTTATGTCAAGAGGACGAAAAGTTTAGTAGAAGTTTTGAGTTCAGATATGAAGGGGGAGGCAGAGTACAGTGCTACTAGTGTTGGAAGCAGGTTTAGAATGAAAGAAATTTTATTTAGCTTGAGAATAGGCACAGTTGATAAAATGCAAGGGGTAACCAAGGCAAGAGAATGATTTGTGGATAAAGGCAATTCCAGAATCAAGGAACTGAGGGTCGCTGATGCGTAGAGTGCGGAGGAAGAGAGAGACGAGGACACTTTTCTTAACTGAAGGAGGATGGTAGGAAAAGAAGTGAATGTACATGCCACTATGCATGGGTTTGCGGTAGACAGAGAAAGAGAACCCGGACACAGAGCTGTGAACGTCAAGAAAAGGAAGGAGGGAATTAGATTCCCATTCAACTTTGAAATTGATAGAAGGAGCCAGATTGTTAAGAGAGGAGAGGAAAGGCTGGAAAAGAAAGGCCATGAGGCCATAAAGCAAAAATGTCATCAACATAGCGAAGCCAGAGAGAGGGACGAGCATCAATAGAAGCAAGAAGAACAGTTTCAAAGTATTCCATGTAGAAATTGGCAAGAACAGGGGAGAGAGGGGAACCCATAGCGACACCAAAAGTTTGAGTGTAATATCTACTGTTGAAAGAAAGAGAGTTAAGAGTCAACACAGAGTCTAATGAGTTCGAGGAAAACTTAGTATGCTAATATTGCTTAGTATGCTATTTTTATTATGGTGCACATAGTTACAAAAAATACTATCTAAACAGGAGGATGGGTTGTATTATTATTATCAACCTTTACTCATCAATATGATTTACAAAACTTACTCAAGTCCATGTGAAGATTTTGATATACGTTCCTAAAACGACAGCCAGGGAGACCACTGAGTGCAACACTCTGTGGACACCCCATAAACGACATATCTAACCTGCAAGATCAAAATTTAAATTAGGCTATTCAACCAATATAAGAAATACAGCATAATGCACCGCATATACCAAAATTTAGATTAGACTATTCAATATCAGAAATACAGTATTAAATACTGTACATATATTTATTATTTTTAAAATATGAATGAAATAATGACTATTATTATTTTACAAGTGCTTATAACACACACAAATCCCAATTACGTGATGCATCAAATGAACAAATCCACAAGGGCCATGACGAGGATTCTCGTCACAGCCCTTGTGGATTTGTTCAAGTGCCTATAATGCTAAACTGAGGAGAGTCTTGTTACATTCATCGAAGCACACAAGATAATAATTACCATAATAATAATTCAATGTGTTCATTGATACTAGTATCAATATGGCTACTGCACTATTTAGATATAAGCTCATTGTGTATTATGCCATTTGGATACATAACTGTGTAATACTAGAGTAGCCGAACGTTATCTGCAAATAGATCCGTCACAAAAGCTTGTAAGATATAAATAATGCAGAGAATGCTGCCATTTCCTGTAATATTGCACTGTATAGCTTTTCTATCTTATGCGAAAGACTGTAAATTCCTTACATAAAATTTAAAAATTACACAAGTGTGGGTTTTTATCCTATGTTATGATGTCTATGAGAAGACATTACCATTACTTCTTATTACTACTACTCGAAAGAAATTTATGGTTTGGTTTTAAATTTTTGTTTACTTTTTGAAGAATTTAGGCACTGCAGTTTGGATTTGAGAGATTTTACTAAACAAATCAGAAGAGAGAAAAAGAAAAGCACAAATAGCTAGAAGAAAAACATTAAGCCATGTGAGGAGTGTGCATGATAGTATGATGTTTCCAGTGGAGAGAGAGTCTTTTTACCGAAATATAGAGCCAAGCTTATTACTGTATTCGACTGCATCTGAAGCTCAAACTATTGTATTACCCTATCCATACTCCATCTCTTGGTAACATTCCTGCAAAAACATATGAAACAAAGACAATAATGTCACAGGCAGGTAGAACAAGAACTACAGTACAACAGATAATACAGGATATTAATTCATTAATAATTAAATTTGTTAATTTAATAATTACATTATTAAAAACTTGACTTACCAGTCTACTTTAAGTGTTTGTACCAAAGCCTGACTCGACTCATCATCCAAGTCTGATGAGCCGAACATTTTGATTTCTGCAAGTACCAAGCAAGTATGAATATCTGAGCACAAGCTGTAGAGTTCTGTCTGTAGGGCATGTGCCACACTTAAGTTAGGCAACATTATTTTAGTTTATGATTTTATAGGTGGTTAGGTTAATTAAAGGTCATTTGGTAAGGTAAGGCAAAGTTTGGTTATGCAGTACTGTATTGAGTTAAATCATTTATGTACAAGTCATATACAATATATACAATATGGAGCAGCATCCATTATTGACAAACACACATCACATACAGTACTCTATACATTATTTTTCGTAACTTGGACCTACTCCATTTACAAACGACAGCATGGCTTAAGTGTACGGACAACAGGCAGACCGCCATAGCCCTGGGGATCACAGCAGAAGGGTGCATAATATAGTCACCAAAATTGCATTCGCTACTGGGTCAGCTGCCAGCCAGCTACCCAAGATTACCTATCATAAATAGGGTACCACTTTCCCTATGGTTTTCGCAAGAGGGTGGGGGGAATGGGGGATGGGAAGGGAATTATCTGGAGAAAGCCCCAAGCCATTATTACTACATAGCACTTGGAAGGGGATCAGGTTAAGGATTTGGGAGGGAATGAGGGAGAGGAATGGTGCTCAACCTCTTGTTCAGTCCTTCATCTCCCAAAGTGGCAGGAGGAAAGGAACAAAAATATTGCTTTATAATTAATTACAAGTATTGTAAAATACTGGTTTAAAAAAAATCTGCCATGTAACTAGGGGCTAACATGTTTAGGGACCTGACAGCTGAGTGGATTGCGCTTCAGATTCGTAGTATTGAGGTTCTGGATTCGATCCCCAGTGGAGGCGCAAACAAACGGGCAGAGTTTCTTTCACCCTGATGCTCTGTTCACATAGCAGTAAATAGGTACCTGGGAGTTAGACAGCTGCTACGGGCTGCTTCCTAAGGATGTGTAACAAAAAGGAGGCCTGGTCGAGGACCAGGCCGCAGGGACGCTAAACCCCGAAATCATCTCAAGATAACCTCAAGATAGGTAAACTCAAACATGGTATATGCATACCATTTCTGCCAGAAACATAACAGAGAAAACTCAGTATTTGTCAGGTATTGGTAAAACATCTCACTACACTGCTTAAAATACTTGTATGTTGTCAAATATGTTGTCAACATTATCTGTTTTGCAGTTGTAGTCAGATGAGGCTACATTTGGTTTAGTTTATATCTTGTTAGGCTACTGATGTTAGGGTTAGATATTATTAGGCTACAGATGTTAGGTTTAGATATTGTTAGGCTACTGATGTTAGGTTTAGATATTGTTAGGCTACTGATGTTAGGGTTAGATATTATTAGGCTACTGATGTTAGGTTTAGATATTGTTAGGCTACTGATGTTAGGTTTAGATATTGTTAGGCTACTGATGTTAGGGTTAGATATTATTAGGCTACAGATGTTAGGTTTAGATATTATTAGGCTACAGATGTTAGGTTTAGATATTGTTAGGCTACTGATGTTAGGTTTAGATATTGTTAGGCTACTGATGTTAGATTAGGTTTAGATCATGTTAGGCTACTGATGTTAGGATTAGAGAGTAAGGTTTAGATATTGTTAGGCTATTGATGTTAGGTTAGGTTTACTCTTGTTAGGCTATTAATGTTAGGTTAGTTATCTCTTGTTAGGCTGCTGATGTTAGATTTAGATATTGTTAGGCTACTGATGTTAGGTTAATTTTAAATCATGTTAGGCTACTGATGTTAGTTAATTTTAGATCATGTTAGGCTACTGATGTTAGGTTAGGTTTAGATCATGTTAGGCTACTGATGTTAGATTAGGTATAAATCATGTTAGGCTACTGATGTTAGATTAGGTTTAGATCATGTTAGGCTACTGATGTTAGATTAGGTTTAGATCATGTTAGGCTACTGATGTTAGGTTAGGTTTAGATCATGTTAGGCTACTGATGTTAGGTTAGGTTTAGATCATGTTAGGCTACTGATGTTAGATTAGGTTTAGATCATGTTAGGCTACTGATGTTAGGTTAGGTTTAGATCATGTTAGGCTACTGATGTTAGATTAGGTTTAGATCATGTTAGGCTACTGATGTTAGATTAGGTTTAGATCATGTTAGGCTACTGATGTTAGATTAGGTTTAGATCATGTTAGGCTACTGATAAGATAGATAAGATAATGTTTATTCAGGTAAAGGTACATACATTCAAAAAGAGTTACAATGTTGGATTTCTATATAGAGCTAGGACATATTATGCTTAAAGCCACTAATATGCAGTGTGTTTCAGGCACGCTGCTGTTCAATTTAGATATTGTTAGGCAACTGATGTTAGGTTAAGTTTACATTTTGTTAGGCTACTGATGATAGATATGGCAACTGTTTGTAAAAAAAACTCCATAATTACAATGTAAGTTAAACACTGAAAATTTAGTTATATGCTTGAGACAATAAATAGCAGCAGTGACCAGCTAACGGCTATATTAAACAAAATGAAGACTAACCTGACTTAAAAGTACTGTACTTCTCAGACATGGAAATATAACAAAAATGCATTTTGCCTAACACAGTAGCTTTAGGCCTATAGAGTTCACATATAGTATATGTGAACTATATTTGAAATATGTGAAATAGTATTCATGGATACAGTGGCACTATGAATTAGTTACTTTACTTAGGATATATCTATTATGATAGGATAATGTAGCCGAAATTACATGCACAGTACATTAATATTTTTTTTCAACGTTATCAGGACACTCACTTTTTTCAATTAGCCAATTATGTCCAGATTTTCTGGATGCGTCAGATTATGTTTGCTAGTTTGCATTTGGTTTTGTAACTGTTCAGTAAGGAAATTATTTATGAGTTGTATACAGTTATATAGGGGCCTTGCAGCACAGTTGGCTACACCCTCAACTCACAATCCAGGAACCCGGGTTTAATTCCCCGGGAAAGGATAGAAATGGTCGAGCACATTTCCTTTCCCCTGATGCCACTGTTTTTCCAGCAGTAAATATGTACCCGGGAATTAGACAATTGTTGTGGCTTATTGTTTTAATTGTTGGGGTTGTATTCTATGTAAGGTCAGTAGTTAGTCTAGGGGGAAACCTCTATAAACCTGTATCCCCAATAACAGGAATTAAGCAGTTAGCTTATTCAGAATAGGTTGGTCTACACACATGTAAAGCTCTCCACCAGCTCAGATATCACACCTGTATTGACCCCTCACCCAAGCAGACTCTTCTAAGATTAGTTATACAAACCTCACATTACGCCTGTATATCTCACGTCACAATACAGTACCTACATTATTTTACGGAACATTACACACCTGCACCCAGCCCCAACACACCTGCACACTGCCTCCAACACACTTGCAAACTATCCCTAACACACCTGCAGACTACCCCTAACACACCAGCACGCTGCCCCAACACACCTGCACGCTGCCTCCAACACACTTGCAAACTACCCCTAACACACTTGCAAACTACCCCTAACACACCTGCAGACTAACAACACATCGATAGATTACCCCCAACATACCTGCAGGCTACCCCTTATACACCTGCACGCTGCTCCAACACACCTGCCAAAATCAGCTGTTGACATGTGCGGGTCGAGGGCCGTTGTCCACCGTGGTCAGGTCGACACCACAGAAAACGTGCCGGTCATCAGCCTTAATAGCTATAACTTTTAGAAATGGCGAAGATTTTTAGTTTCACATTATCAAGGATAACTACTAGGATTATTGAGGCTCCATCTTCTCCTTTACCCTCGAATGCAAGAATAATACTACTACTATTACTAATAAAACTAATAATAATAATAATAATAATAATAATAATAATAATAATAATAATAATAATAATAATTATAATTTATAATAATAATAATAATTATAATAATAAACATAATAATAAACATAATAATAATAATAATGTTCCCCATATGTACTAATGTACTCCAATGTACCCGTGGCTTTGATGTGCCTCCAAGTGCAATTAATTTTGTTTTAGTGTACCTGAGAGTACCTTAAAGCAATCTACCTCATTTTTTGTATAGTTTTGTATTTTTTATATATCTAGATCTTTGTGCCTGAGAGTACCATAAATTTAGCAATCTACCTCATTTTTTGTATACTTTTTTTATTATAGATCTATTTTTGTAATTGTCTTTTTTGCCTTTCTTTCCATCAAATTTTGCCTTTCTTTCCATCAAACAGCCCCTTATACAAACTAGTATAGACCCAGAACTAAACCTCCTATCTAGTATCTATGACAATCATCACTTTAATGATCGAAATTGCAGGTATTATACAGCACATGATGTAAACAATGTTTTAACACGTAATCATCTTGTGTGGATTCCCGCCCGAAGCTCGGCCATCTTGGCGCGCGGATTGAGTGAAACAAAATTAGTTGAGTATCCCACAGCAATGGACACTGCATTAACGCTGCTAGAGGAATAGTAAGTAAATACAAGGCATAACTAAGCTGAACAATGCAATAATTAATTTAGAAACTTAAATAAAAGATAATAACATAACATAGCCCACCCAAGCGGACAGACCGCCCGACGGCATGCGCCTGCGCTGGAGGACAGGACAGGGAAACAGGAGGGAACGTGTACGTGCAGGAACAACAGGCGGCTACCGAGTGGACGAGACGTAAAGGTACAAACGGGCCGGTCTACCCCGACCAGGCCAAACGGCTGGGGCGAACATAACGTGGGACACCGGGGCCAGCAAACACCTGGGGACGAACAAACCGGGATACACCGGCCAGCCCAAACGACTGGGTACGAACAAGCCGGGATACACCGGCCATCCCAGACGACTGGGTACGAACAGATCGGGCTACACCATCACCGGATGAGACTGAACATCCGTGTACGAACAAGCCGGGCTCCACCGGCCAGACAAAACGTCTGTGACGAGCAAGCAGGGCTGCGCCAGCCAGACAAACAGCTGAGACGAACAAGCTGGGCTACACCAGCCAGGCAAACGACTGGGACAAACAAGCTGAGCTACACCGACCGGACAAACAACTGGGACGAACACGCTGGGCTTCAACAGCCAGACAAACGACTGGGAAGAACAAGCTGGGTTACACCAGCCAGGCAAACAACTGGGACGAACAGACTGGCTTCAACAGCCAGACGAACGACTGGGACGAACAAGCAGGCTAAACCAGCCAGACAAACGTCTGGGATGAACGAACTGGGCTACACCCGCCAGACAAACGTCTGGGGCGAACGAGCTGGGCTACACCAGCCAGACAAACGTCTGGGACGAACGAGCTGGGCTACACGAGCCAGACAAACGTCTGGGCGAACGAGCTGGGCTACACCAGCCAGACAAACGTCTGGGCGAACGAGCTGGGCTACACCAGCCAGACAAACGTCTGGGGCGAACGAGCTGGGCTACACCAGCCAGACAAACGTCTGGGACGAACGAGCTGGGCTACACCAGCCAGACAAACGTCTGGGGCGAATCGAGCTGGGCTACACCAGCCAGACAAACGTCTGGGGCGAATCGAGCTGGGCTACACCAGCCAGACAAACGTCTGGGCGAACGAGCTGGGCTACACCAGCCAGACAAACGTCTGGGCAAACGAGCTGGGCTACACCAGCCAGACAAACGTCTGGGGCGAACAAGCTGGCCTACTCCGGCCAGACAACAACTGGGACGAACAAGCTGGGCTACACCAAGCGGCCAAACGTCTAGGGACGAACAGGCTGGGCTACACCAGCCAGACAGACGTCTAGTACGAACAAGCTGGGCTACACCAGCCAGACAAACGTCTAGGGACGAATACGCTGGGCAACACCAGCCAGACAAACTTCTAGGACAAACAGGCTGGGCTACACCAGCCAGACAAACTTCTAGGACAAACAGGCTGGGCTACACCAGCCAGACAAACGTCTAGGACGAACAGGCTGGGCTACACCAGCCAGACGAACGTCTAGGTCGAACAGGCTGGGCTACACCAGCCAGACAAACGTCTAGGACGAACAGGCTGGGTTACACCAGCCAGACAAACTACAGGGACAAACAGGCTGTGCTACACCAGCCAGACTAACGTCTAGGAACGAACAGGCTGATCTACCCCAGCCAGGCAAAACGCCTAGATACGGACAAAACGAGCAACACCGGACGGACAAACAACTGGGACGAACAAGCAGGGCATCACCGTCCAGACAAACATCAGAAGAACATGCCGGACGACACCGGCTGACGCAAGTCAGCCAATAACAAGCAAGTGTTGGGCCTACCCACCGGGGCACCGCCGCCACAAGGGCGTCTCCTGCCCGAGGGCGAAAAGGGAGAAGGACAGGAAGGAAGCGAACACAGCCCGAGGCAAGCGCTCCTGGAGCTCCATGCCACGTGGGTGATGCCGACCTTGGCATGGGCCCCTAGGGTCGGGCCCTAGGGACAAAGACAACTAAAAAACCCGGCCAGGAGGCGTCGCCACCAGGGTGACGCCAGGACGCTCGCAGGGAACCTGGCCGGTCACGCACGTCCAAGTGCATCACGAACCCTGGCCCCTAGGGCCAAGCCAAGAGGGCGCAACAAACCAGGTTCCGGGGAAAACGCCTGGGACGGGGAAGGAAACGAAGGGCATCCTTGGGGCGAGTGCTTCACCGAGCTCAAAGCCACGTGGGCGCCGCCTACCGGGATTGGGCCCCAGGGCTCAGAACCCCGGAAACCGCCGCGTGGCGTCGCCACAGAGGGCGATGCCAGACCACAGAAGGAGCCTGGCCGCGCACGCACGGCCAGGCGCGGGCGAAACATGGCCCCTAGGGCAAGCCTAGGGGCACAGCAAACCGGGGAGGGCACACCTGGGACGAATGGTCCACCGAGCACGCAATAGGGCCGGGCCCCAGGGCACAGGACCACCGAAACCAGGCCACATGAAGTCGCCGCAGATAACCAGCGCACCAGTCCCGACCTGGAGGAACGCCAGCAACCCCAGGGAGGCAAGCAGGCGGAAGGCCCTAGGGAACTAGCTAAGCGGAACGAACGGGCCGCGAGGGACGGCGCAAACACACGCCAGCACTGGGGGTAGTCCTGACTAACTTGTACAGGAAACTCTCTTACCTTAGGGTTTGCTGGGTAGGGCAGGGGGCCCCTGCGGTACCGGCCTGGGATGTGGAAGGCCCCAAAGGATCGGAGAATATCAGTTGTGGGACCATAGTAGCGGAGAGGGAGTCCGATTGCTTGAGAAATCCCGTGTACACAGTAAACAAAACGTAGAAGTGGTAAGGGTACTGGCCCACGTGTCGATGAGGCGTGGTGCTGAGCGTGGAGCCGCTTCGTGAATCTTGGACCTGGTCGGGAGAGGGAGTGAGAGCGGGACCTGACTTCCCGCGCCTTTTATGCCACCCAGGCTGGCCGCACCACGCCTGTGGGACGCGATGCGCAAATGTCTCTTCCTTCCCCCGTCAGAAACTCCACCGCCTTTCGTCAAAAGGCAGTGGGCCATGTATTATACAGCACAGGATGTAAACAATGTTTTAACACGTAATCATCTTGTGTGGATTCCCGCCCGAAGGTCGGCCATCTTGGCGCGCGGATTGAACGCTCCTGGCTGGACTTTCTTTCCACACCTTACCTGGAGCTTATCTTTGAATTCAGCTGGCTTCTTTGGGTCAGTGTATGTTCACTGCAGCTAGCCAGGGGCTCACAGCACCTGGGGAGGCCGGAGCCTCCCTAATGGACGCCTCCCCGAGCGGGGATACCATGGATGTTGACAGCAAGTCCCAGAGAGGAAAACGTATGATGGAAAATGAGTCGACTGATGCTGCCCCAGAGCGAGATGCTAAGAGGATGTCTTCGCCTTCAGAAGACTAGTTTTGTGGTACCCCATTCCTCGTTTGTGGTTGTCCTAATCCAGTCAGAATCAGATCAGCGCGTGTTTGCAAATCCTCGTACCTTATAATTAGGTGCAGCAATTGAGGCTTCGGTATTGTGGCCACATTGCCTGCCTGAGACCATACGTACCCTGGGTAGGGGTGCAGCACTGAAGCTACACATCAGAAAGGAAGCTCTATCACACATCCGTGTATCCGACATTATTATGTTGGGGGGACTGGCCTGTCAGGTGCCGACAGGTATTGTCGCAGGAGGAGGAGTCTCGGGCCCGGTATGGGAAGATTGGCCCAATTGACCAGAGTGTAGATGTGGATGACATCCAGGTCACTCTGCAGGTGGTACGGGGTGCATCAGTGAGATTGTTGGAAGTTACCAGGATTCGCGGAGCAGCAGGGCCGACATCCATGGTCCGTGTAAAGTTCGATGGGCACCTCCCTGACCGAGTGGCACTACACAGGACCTCGTATCAGGTTCAGCCCTACAACTTCCCTGTGTTACGATGATGAAGATTAAGCCACCCAAAAGGTGGCACGGGCTTGAATAGCCCGTAAGTGGTGGCCCTTTTGAGCCATCACCAGTATCAAGAGCTGATACTGGAGATCTGTGGAGGTGCGACTGCACCCTGCGTGACGGGAGATGTCTCCCGTGTGAATGTGTTAAGATGAAGATGAAGCAACCCAAAAGGTGGCATTGGCATGAATAGCCCGTAAGTGGTGGCCCTTTTGAGCCATCACCAGTATCAAGAGCTGATACTGGAGATCTGTGGAGGTG